AGTATAGCCGAATTTAATCATAATGATTTGTTAGATATTCAAATTATTTTTCTTTATTTATTTCAGTATCAGTAAATTTAATTTCATATATGTGGTTACTTTGCGCTCTATTTAGAAAAACTAATATTTTTAGTAGCATTTTATACGAATCCAACATGATAAGATTTGCTCCAATTCCTCATTAATGAAATGTGAAAAATGGTAATTTCTTTTGTTAGAATTCTCTGAACATAACAAACAATTTTTTATCATGTTTAGACATGACTTCTAGTTAAATTGTACACCTCAAAAGTGGTCATTATTGATTTTTGCAAAGACGGAGATAGAGGTTGGTCCTAATCACGAGCTTCTGAATTTAAAAAAATCTGGTAATCTGCCTCACTTTAGTCCTAAAAAGACCAAATACTATACATATAATTTCATAAACTTTTAAAAATATCGTGTTCTGTTAAGAAAATTCATCATTTATTGCGATATATTACTAAAACTTTACCGTGCCTAACTTATGTTTGTTGGACTTGGATATACACAGAAAAAATAAAGAAAAAAATTACCACGTGTCAACGAAGCCTAGAACGAAGCATGCTAAAATTAGGAAAACTCCAAAAAATAACTCTTGGAGGAGGCCTTCACCTGCGGAAGGGTTCTTGCAGATTAAATATTTATCTTAATCCTAAGCTTAGTTTATTTAGTTTTTTACTTTTTATTTTTATTTTATTTATTACTAAAACTAATGACATTGAATTAAAGATGAAAAGCGTAATTTTAATAGAAAACGTTAAATATAATTAAGTCAATTTAAATATATAAGGTCAAATTAAACTTGATATCGAAACTTAATTTTATAGTGAAGATAACGCATAAATAATTGAAACAGAACTTGCATCTCTTATTTATAATACGATCGTTGCTGAAAGATGAAAAAATATGAGGGAGTACGTTACAAGGCAGTCGCGTTGATGCAGTGAATATATTATACCTGTGTCTAAAAACCAGGGCAGCCGTACAAAGTTGGGTGCAAGTGGGGTAAGGGAGAGGGGGGACATTACAAAACTTGGTTTTAACCGGTTAATTCTTATTTCTTAGTACAATACGGCCGACGTATCTTGGCGAGTCCGACCTTCGCGCAGAAGGTTGCGCAATAGCTTTTTTAAGGAACAAAATGGTGGCATGAGGCGACGTACGGGGGGCGGTGGTCTAGGCTAGAGATTGACCATAAGTAAACACAATCGACCCTTTAGTCATAAAATATCGCAATCGATTAGTTTTATTTAGAAGTTATTGATTTTTGTTTATATAAGATATTAAACGAAATAGATTTACAAATATAGTGAATTTTGTTGATAATAAACAAGATTTCGACTTAAATAAAAAAAAAAAACTAAAAACATATTATTTTCTCAGCTGAAAGACATAATGTACTTAAATATCAATTATCTATTAACGTCTTCTTGAGTAACGACTATTTGAGAAAATTTAGAACCTCCTTATAAATTGCAAATAAATATATTTTTATGTCTTAATTTTAATCGATTTGAATAAAAATCGATTAAACAACACCCTCAGGCACGCGTGTTGGACATCCCTTTCTGGTTACTTCGTAAAGCTTCGTGCTTATTCGGCAATGCTCGGTACACGGTAATATTTCTCAGTCACACGTTAGCATTGGTGTCGTGTTCGTGTCGCTATCTCTGTCTTGAGCACAGTCGGTTACAAAAGTTTTCGTTGTTATTGTTGTTTGTTTTTATTAATAGTGTTAAGTTTGTTTTGTTTGTTTTATTTGTTTTATTTGTTTTATTTGCAAGTGTCAGTTAGCACTTATATTATTCGCCAAACATGCCACCAAAACATAACAGTGTGTTAAATCGCCAGGCGAGAAAAATTATTTACGATTTAACGCAATATATGAAAAAAGAAAAAGAAGAAGGCGTAAAAGATGTCGATAAAGTTTATTTAAGAGTTGCTAACGCAACTGGTGTGTCCCAACGCACAGTACAGCGGATCGCAACTGAAGGCAATATTTCGGGCTTACTTTCAGTATTCCGCACGCCTGGTAAAAAAAGGTCTAGATCAAAACCTATTACTGATATGGATAATTTTGACCAGGGAGTAGTAAAAAGATGCATACACAACTTCCACAAAACTGAAAAAGAAATGCCGACGATAAACAAATTACTAGCGAAACTCAAACGGGATATAAATTTTCAAGGTGGTAAAACGAGCTTAAAGACAATTATCAAAAACTTGGGTTTCAAGTGGCGAAAGACCGAAACCAATAGAATGGTTCTTATAGAGAAGACCGACATTCGCCTGAAAAGGATCTTGTACTTGAAGGCAATGAAAAAATACAGGGACGAAGGGCGACCAATTGTATTCACTGACGAGTCGTATGCCCACTCATCACATACAAAAGGTAAGGCGTGGTCAGATGGTTCCGCTCAAGGACTAAAGCGCCCGATATCAAAAGGTCAGCGGATAGTGATGGTACACGCTGGGTCAGAAGCAGGGTTTGTTCCGAACGCGCTACTAATGTTCAAATCTGGCAGCAAAACCGGAGACTATCATGATGACATGAATTTCAAAAATTATGAGAAATGGTTACGGACCCAACTGATTCCAAATTTGAGCCCTAACTCGGTGGTGGTTATCGATAATGCTCCGTACCACAACAAATTAATGGATCCTGCCCCTACATCTAATGACAAGAAGGCAAAAATGGAATCGTGGTTATTAGAAAAGGGTATACCATATGAAAAGGACATGCGTAAACCACAACTTTACGATCTAATAAAAAAAAACAAAGACGTGAATAAAAAATACGTAATAGATGAAATGTTTAAACAAAACAACCACGATGTCCTTCGTTTACCCCCATATCATCCCGATTTAAACCCCATCGAGATGGTGTGGGCTGCCATTAAAGGGCACGTAGCCGCTAAAAACGTCGACTGGAACGTAACCCGGACAATGGAGCTCATACAAGAAAAAGTAAATTTAATGGGTCAGAATGAATGGAGTGCTTTATGCAGAAAAGTGCAAGAGGTCGAACATGACTATAGGAAGAGCGACCATATTATTGACGAAATGACGGATCAATTATTCATCATTAATACAGCTTCAGATTCAGAAAGTGAGTCTGAAAGTGAGAGCGACGATTACGAAGATGAACCTATGCCAAGTACCTCACATGGTACACAAGGGGCCGACGACTTTATGTTAGGAATTTCCCCCCTCAGCGACAGTGATTAAATAATAATAAGTGTAAATAAATAAAAAGTATTAAATGTAAATAATATTGTATGTGTTTGTGATAAAATCTGCCCCTATCGAAAGGTGAGGTATCAAAATTGAATCTTTAATTTATAATGTCTCCAAAGTGTTTTGATATTTTTGGTCACTGTATTAGGGAAATTTTATTTGTACATTGGTATATATAAAAAAATGACAATAACAGTTTTCTTCACGAGTGTTCATGCGCTAAACTTCGCAGAGCCTATATTCAGACTCGCCAAGATACGTCGGCCGTATTATACCTTAACCTAATTTTGTGAAAAACCGGTATTCCGCAAAAATCGGTTTTGGGGTCAATGACCGAAACCGGTTCGGAATTTGAACCGGTTTCCGAGCCTTGGTATTGGGCATTGATATAAGAAAATTGGGTACATAGATAAATAAATATGTGTAGCAATCTAATTGAACGCGTACCTAGTGTTTCTATATAGTTAGTGTTGGGCATAGATAAGAGTGTATATACGGAAAGTAGAGATGAGACATACTCGCAAAATTTCATACTAGGGCTTCTAAGTACGAGTATGGAAAAATACCAGGGTCGAAAACCAGGTTTTATAAATACTGGAAAGTATTTGTTAATGTCAATATATATATGAATGCCTAATTTGATTCGGGCCAAAATTTATACTGTACCTTTTTAAATTTTTTTTGGTAACGAAATGAAATCTTTCTTTCCTACTTTTCGGCTTTAATTAATAAAAGTTTTAAAACTGTCTCTAAATTCAATATACACGCGAAATAACTATTTAAAAATTAGGTCACGGTCAGTAGGTTACGTAATCAGTTCACAATAACAATTGAATTTACAAGAAATCGAAACAAAACTTTTACTTCCCCGAATATAAACATAATTCTTATTACTTACTAGCTACTTACGCGACGTGTCCAGCCGCGGTGTCAGTTTGAAAATACTTGCAAAGAGTATAGTAATATATAAGGAAGAATACTTGCATAGGAATTCGACCCGCTTTCCATGTTAGGCTATTATGACTAAGGAGCAAATTCGTATAAATAAAAAAAAATACTTTCAAGTTCAAAGTATTTTTAATTCACAAATACGATTGAGTTTCTTATTACTATTGAGGTATGGATCATTTTCCTATGCAAGTATTCTCATACTTGCAAGTATTTTTTGGTCGTAAAAGGGCGCCGTACTTTAAAGTTAAAACCTGGTAGCGTAAATACGTCTCATTGCGACGCGAGGGACGTGTCCAGCCGTGGTGTCAAAATTTGAAAATACTTGCATAGGAATTTCACCCGTATTCCATGTTATCCTACTATGAATAAGGAGCAAAGTCGTATAAATAAAAAAAATACTTTGAAGTACTAAGTATTTTTCGTTAACAAATACGATTGAGTTCCTTACTACTATTGAGATATGGATGATTTTCCTATGCAAGTATTTTCATACTTGCAAGTATTTTTTGCTCGTACCAGGGCGCCGTACTTTGAAGTGAATACCTGGTTTTAAAACCTGGTAGCGTAAATACGTCTCATCTTTAACGGAAAGTGTTGGGCCCGCCTAAGGGTATTAGTGTTCTGTGGTGTTGGGTATCAACAATTCAACAGTCAACACATTCAAAACTTTTATAAAATCATTATGTATATATTTTAGTTTTAGTTTATATAATAAAATAATATTCTTGCAATCTTCTTGATTTTCAATTGAGGTTCAAGGCATTAAATAATAATCTTTAAAAATTATTAAAATGGTTCGCGAAGGAGTATTATCACCTGCTGATTCAGGAGAGTTTATTGCAAAACACGCAAAGCACGTAAAAATTATCGAAGGAGGTCGAAAGAAATTAGCTACTGAGGTAGGTAAAATAATTTCAATACCTAAGAAATTGGCTACAGTTGTAAGATCAAATTATATAAATTATTATTTATGTTCGTCACAATGGTGTTTTCAAATTTTAATTTTGATGAAAAGTTGCTTTCAAAATTTTGTGAAACTTCTTTTTTCTTTATTACCATAAAGTATATCATAAAGTTACTGCAAAACAAACACAAACACTTTCAACTAGGGGTTACAAAATACAAATAGTGTTTTTGCCAAGGTATTAACCTGAAACGTGCTTGGCTGCCAAGTCATAGTGGCATACGTGACAACGAAATTGTTGATTCCTTAGCAAAGCAATCATCTACTTCATGCATCGTATAACATATACTCATGACCTTATTTCTCTTGCGAAAATCCATCAGATGTCAGATTGGAACTCTCTTTGGAAAAAAACTCAGAAGTCTATCGGTAAATATTATGCGGAACTCCAACCTGACATCCCCTCCAAGCCATGGTTTTTGAAATTTAGAAATGGCTCCAAACATAGTACATCTGTCATGGCTCCAGTACACGTTGACCGAGTGCGCTCGCCAAGCGCGCTCGCCCAACGTGTACTGGGCCGTTTTGTATATATTTGGCGTTTGCGGCCAACACTCGCCGACAAGCCGTATAGTGTCGGTTTTCCGTGCACAAATCAAAGAAATTTGGCGCAAGCCACCAACAGTGTTCACACGTTGACCGAGTGTTCAGTTCATAGTTACGCGTCGGAGTAGACTGTAGTGTCGGATTAATAAAATTGTTTCACGAACATGCCGACATGGACTAATGAGGAAATATTGAGGTTCATTGATTCTTATCACAATGAATCAGTTATATGGAACCACAAACTTGCCTAACTGTATTAAATAATACATGTTTAGTTGCGATTTCAGAGTACCTACCTGATGATGAATATTATTATAAATTATCTCTGAGTTTATGTTGCTTAGGGATAATGTAGCTTAGGGGCTTCTTTTAGGCTATCTTTTGTTTTGAAAAAATGCCCAGCCAAGCGGGCACGGGTCAGCCAATAGATCCTATAAAGGTTTCTTTTTTCCTTTTGAGGTCGGAACTCTAAAAAGGACAAACTGGGATTATTGTTGTATGTGTAGTGTATATACATATAGAATACTCAGCATCCACCATCTTCTTTTGCACCATCTTTTTTTAATTACTCTTCTCTGGTGCACGTCTAAATAAAATTTGAAAGCGCTGTACAAGTATATTGCCGTGGCCGCGATCGCCCTAACGTCCATCATCATCTAGCTACCAATGCAGAATGAAACACGCCAATGTGTGAACGGCACCACGAAAATCTGCCGAGCGCGCTCGGCCAATGTGTACTGGAGCCATTATATGTAGAATTAGATTGGGACACACTTGTTCACCTGTATTTTTGGCAAAACTTAAGATTAAAGATAGCTCAATTTGTGAGTGTGGATTAGACGAAGGTATGATCGATCATAAATTTTTTAACTGCCCTAACCTCTCCGTTTCATTATACAATTTTCTTCCTAATAACATCCCTCATCCTGTAAATCTTAAGTCTTTGTTACATTTAGTTTACACTCCTTTTGTACAAACTTTATTAGACTTCATATCCATTAATAATATTAAACTATAACATTTGACACTTACCTATATCCATTTTGTTATAACAATAATTTTGTAAAAATATTATAATGTTAATTCAATCGAAAATAACTACATAAGTAAGTTCGTAACATAAAGCTAAGTAAGCGCATCTACTGAGAAACGGAAACGAGTCAATACTCTGTGTGACTCTCATGAAATACTTGACGCTGGCAGAATCCATTGGAAGTTGCCAAACTAGGAAAAAAAAAATACAAAAACCTTGCCTTGTGGCAATCTATGACGGAGACCTATGTTCAGCAGTAAATAATTAAGAAGAAATAAATAAAATAATGTTTAAATTAAATAAATCTAAATACAAAGGAGCTCTGTTTCCTGAACTAGGTAATATACTATTCCTGAGATACAGGTGATATCTCAGGAAACAGAGCCTTCCCTAATTCTTAATTCTAAGTCTATATTCTATAAGAATAGTTGTAGTACTATAATTGAATTTTATTTCTCATTAACATTTTCCGCCTTACAGATATTGTCCAGTATTAAAGCCAATCAGCTTCAAATGCCAGACACAGGCGCGGACTCAATTCATCCGTATAAAGACCACCCAAGAGCTGTCGACTGGGTCTTTGTTGTAGATGCTCTCAACTTCTGTTTTTGGTCGAAAAGCAAAGAAGAGCAGTGGTCCGTAAATGGTTACACAGGATATTATGCATTAGAAGCTGCTCTTAATAGGGCAATAAAGGTATGCTTATTTATATAACTGAAGAATGAAGAGGCGATGAGCAGGAGCTATATAGGTTAAAGATTCAACAACAATTATGGAACAAAGGTTCTCAAGTGGTAACCTTGTACTGGCAAGCACAGTTTTAGGCAGACCTCCCACTAGATGTAGTGGCAACCAAATAACAAGCAGGTAATGGATGCAGGTGGCTCAGGACTGAGCATGTGGTGACCTATTGGGGAGGCTATGTACTGGACTTGTGATGGACTGTGATGATGGTGATGACGAAGTTGTACACTGTTACCAGCTATCAAAAGTCCTCTACTGAATGTAAGCCTCCCTCATAGATTGCCTCACAGTGGGATATTTGCATTAGTTGCCACACTTGTCGGGCATTTTGGTAACCGCAGTTGCTGTTGCCCAACTCCTGGTTTGTTTTTTTCAACACTTAGGCTGGATTTAGTGCTCGACCGACCAATGATCAGGACGCACCGTCAGCGCATACGGTACATGCTGACCGTCAGTCGACCACTAAATCCAGCCTTTTAGATTTTGCTTTTTATTACATCCATAGTATGACACAGGGCAGTAGATATTCTTACACCACCACAACACAATGAAATTTTGTATTAAACTGTAAAAAGTACTCTACATTTTATAAAAAAATTATTGGCAATATTAGAGTAATGAATGAGCTAATAGTTCTTAGCTCATTGGAGTCACTTATGACTATACAGGAGCCACTTACCATCAGATGGACTATGATGGTAAGTGACTCCTGTAGTCCGTGGAACCCAGCAGTCAATACAAGATAGAAAAGGCCACAGATGAATTGTCACCTTCAAAGACTTAGATTAAATGCCTCAAAATGCAAAATTATTCTGTCTCTATCACTCTTCAAACTGGATTACAACAGTGGAGGCAGTTAAGTCAAGTATTTAATTTTATTAATTCTGTTCAAAAATAATAAAATAGTTATCAAACTACAGGCTGACTTTTTTTCAGTAAAAAGTTTTGTTGTAATGGGTGAACAAAAGTAGAGCCCATGGCAGAGATTTATCATATTTATTGTTTTCGTAATTTGAAGTAAACTTTTATTTAACAGCTGGTTTAATGTTGTTAACATTACTGTTACAGCCTATTAAAGTCCACCGCTGAACATAGGCCTACCCCATAGATTGTCACATAGACATCTATGGACCTGTATGAAGTAGGAAGAGGAAAATACGCAAAGCCATATGAACACTCTCACACAGCTATGAAGTTTAATTTAAGCTTGCGTGTGTGATTTATCTAATTAATAATAATTATGTAAGCTATTAAAATGTTGGCAAGCAGTCAACATCAAAGGAGTGCAGCTTCAGTACATAGTACTACTATTAATTCTGTGGTCTATTAGGTCTTTTTTTATATGTGGTAGAGCCATGCTGCAGCTATATTAGTAGTATAGTTGCAGCACAAATGGGTTGGCTCTATAGGGGAAGGATCACGCTCTCACAGAATACCAGCGTAAAATAGCAGCTTAACACTGCTGTGTTTCATATGGTGAGTGTAGAGAACCGGAGACCCTTTTTACTGGAGAAGAGGCATTCCATCTTAGTCCAAACAGGTGACAATGCATCTGCATTTTTTTTCTTTTCACAAACAAGTATAGATGTATGTAGATGTCTATGGGCCACAGCAACCACTTACCATCAGGTTGACTGTGTGCTCGTTTGTCGACCTATCCTATAAAAAAAACATTAGTTCTATGTAACATATAAAAAATGTATCAAATTAATAATTTGGTAATGTGTGGGGTGGTGATAATCTTGCTGTGCACTACCCCACAGTGACAATCCTACCAAATTTGGCATACTTCCAGATGGAGACTCCTTTCTTCAATAATTAAAATATTGAGCTGATAATGATTTAGTGTAAATTTAGATTTCTATTTTCATAGGAAGGTGTAGAAATTGCAAATCCTGAATTTTATTCCAAAATAACAAAGGAGCAGCTTCGTGATATCATGAAAGGTGATAACAATATTGAAATACCACTATTTGATCAAAGACTTTCTATCCTGCATGAAGTTGGATCAATACTTCTCGATAAGTACAATGGGACCTTTGAAACTTGTGTAAAAGAAGCAAATAAGTCTGCAGTAAATTTATTAGATATAGTTGTTAGTAATTTTCCTTGCTTCAGGGATGAGGCCATTTACAGAGATCAAGCCGTTTCATTTTATAAGAGGGCACAGATTTTAGTGGCGGACTTATGGAATTCCTTCAACGGTGCAAGTTGGGGGGAGTTTGAAGACATTGATAATATGACAATGTTTGCAGATTATAGAGTGCCTCAAGTGCTGGTGTATTTTGGTGTTATGAGTTATAGTGATGAATTGATGGATAAATTAAAGAAAGGTTAGTGTAATAAGCATGTTACAAGCTTGTTTTTTTTTATTTTTTAATAAAACTGAAGTGACTAACAAACTAACAGTTAACCTGATAGTAAGTGGTTACTGAAGCCATGGTCACCCGCATTCAATGTCATACAAACAACAACAAGAAAGCTATAAATATGATGTTACCCCTGAGGACTAAGATGGAATGCCTCAGACCCTGTAATAGTACTTACCTTTTTATACTCTTCAGACTGCAACATAGCAGTGCTAGCACTGGCAGCAGAAGTAGGTGAGAGGGTGGGACTTACCCAGACTGACTCCACTTTTTTATAGAATAAGGGTGACTAATGAGCACACAGTTCATTTGATGGTAAGTGGATGCTATGACCCATAGACATCTACGTTTATCCTTGATTAAGAAAGATGCAGATGTATTGTCAGGCCTGGGATTTAAATATATCATTACAGCGCTTCACAAGTCCACTGCTGAACATAGGCCTCCCCTAAGGAATGCCACAAAGCACGGTCCTGAGCCACCTGCATCCATCGACTTCCTGCATATCTTACCAGGTCGTCATTCCATTTAGTGGGGGAATGCCCTACACGTCGTCCGCCGGTACGAGGCCGCCACTCGAGAACCTTTTTTCTCATCGGTTGTCGGTTCTTCGAGCTATATGGCTAGCCCATTGCCGCTTCAGCTTACTAATCTGTTGGGCTATGTCGGTCACTCTGGTTCTACTGCAGATATCCTCATTTCTAAGTTTATCACACAAAGAAACTCCGAGCATATAGCCCTCTCCATAGCTGGCTGAGCGACCTTGAGCTTCCTCATCCGGCCAGCAGTGAAAGACCACGTCTCAGTTCTATAGGTCATCACTGGCAACAGGCACTGGGTGTACAGTCTCGTTTTCAAGTTTTGAGGTATACCTGACGAGAAGATGTACCGTAATTTCAACTGAGTTGAATCCGTCGATTGACCTTTCCGTCGAAGTTGGTTCCGTCGTCCTTACCTAGTCGGACTATTTGTCCCAGGTAAACATACTCGTCGACAACTTCGAGCTTAGTGCTCCCAACAACTACCGGCATAGGTGTGACATGGATGTTGTACATGATCTTTGTTTTGTTCATGTTCATCTTAAGACCAATCAGTTGGAAAGCACTATTGAGGTCATTGAGCATAGAGCGATTCTGCTGATAACGACTATATCGTCGGCAAATCGAAGGTGAGTGAAGAGTTTCGGAGATATAACGTCACCTTGTTTTACACCTCTCTGCAGTTGAATAGGTTTCGTACTATGGTTCTGTACTCGGATAGCCATCGTAGCCCTACTGTACTTACTGTACTTACTTACTTCAGCACTTTAATATACCGACAGTGAACCTGGCACTGCTGAAGGTACTGCAGCACAGGCCAAATTTCTAATGAATCAAAGGCTTTCTCATAGTCTACATAAGCCAGATATAGTGGCACATTGTACTCCTCAGACTTCTGTACAATTTATTTAATAAGGAAAATAGTAGCATTAAACTGCTATTCAGGGAGAAAAAAGTAGTACTAAATAGGATTTGTTATTGCCATAATACTGCATTTAAAGGGCTCAACGCGCGTTTACAACGACATCAGTTTTATTCAGGCCGTACATATGCTAACGGGCGGTTTAATAAAGCGCGCGTTGAACGCTGCGCTAGCGCTCGACTGTTGTCAGCGCGCGTCAACGCGCGCTTTGATGATGACATTGGTTTTCTATGTTACCGTTCGGTGGAGCGCGCGCTTTTGAACTTTTGATGCGGATAGACGTATTTTAAGGTTCGCTCAGTTCATCCAGAAATCGTCCGAAATGGAAATGGAAGCTTTTAATACCGAATTATATATAGATGAAATAGAGAAACGTCCTGCGATATGGGACATGACCAGGGCGGCCGCAGCAACGCGTGTGCAACGCCTGATAAGCGAGCACCATGTGAATACTATACAAAACTTTTACTCGCGTTCAACGCGGGTTGAGCGCTTGTCATCTGAACGTACCCTTATTACTTTTATTTTGATACCTCCACATTTTATTCCATTTTGGTGTGTAAGTAAAAATGCAAGTAACTGTTCCACAAATGGGCACAGGGAGTTTGCAGTGTCGCTACAATAGGTCTGATATCTTAAACATGCAGATTTTTCTAAGTTTTCCTTAACAGTCAAACATAGGTACCATCAAGCAGAGGTAAATCAGCAAACAAAGATTGTGTTTAACAAGTTCATTAGTGCAGGTGGAGGTCAAACTGTTTTCTCACATACTATGAAATGTTTAGGGAAGCAGTTTTCCCTTAAAATACAATAGCTCTGGTGGTAGTTACTAATTTCATGAATTGTTAATATTAGAGCTTTTATTTAAAGAAAAAGAAGACGGCTCAACCCTTACCTTTATTGAAAGAAATTCTTCGATTTTAATTGAACATATATAATATAATATCTGATTTTTATATTTAATATCCATCCATTATCCATTACAACCTAGAAAAGGCTTCGCTTGTAGATTCCTCATATTGGGGGAGTTCCATAGCAGCCATGTTTGGCGGGCAGGTTAGCAACCACTTTTTTTACAGAGGTAATGGATATTTTTACAGTGCCACTATATTACATATGTATATATAATATCAGATAATTGTTATTTGCGCCGTGTGATATAGGCGTAAAAGAAACTATTACCGAGGCAGAGGATAATGAAACAAAATAACAAAAAAAATCTGTGGTTGTCAATTGGTTTAGTTGCCACAAATATCAGACAATTTATGTAGAATTATGTATTCTGCAGTGGTCGTTTGATAGGCTGCAATTAATTAATAAGTAATGAATTAATGAAATGTCATTTTATGTAAAAAGCACATTATTTTTTAATGACTGATTCTTCAACTTTTTACAGATGTTCTTCTTGATAGTGGGTCGGAAGAAGAAGTGGAAATACGCGGGTGCTCAATTCACGCAGTTGAATTATTAAAGAAGAGTATAGAAGAAAACATAAAGGAGAAAGACTTGGACCTAAAAGCGCCAAACTCCAGCCTGATAGATTATTATCTCTGGTGTTACAGGAGGAAACACGCAAAAGAAGTAGAGCGTATTCCTTATCATAAAACCTTGGGTATATATTACTGAATAAGTATTATTTGTATTGTTTATGTGCATTATTATGTAAATATTCTTTTCTTATATAATTATGCTATTTTTGTGTAAAATATTTATGTCATTACCTTGTGAAACTAATTCAGTATGATATTACATGTTGCCATTTTATATTAAATGTAATTTATATTAATTATAAAACATTGTTTACAATTTTACCTTAAACTATTAATAGCTTTTTTTCATAAAATGATAAAAAATAAGTTGCTCAGTGGTTAAAAAAATCGCATCCTATCGTAAGAAATATTGTTCTTATAACCATCTCATATATTCCACACTGATCTAGTGAAGGAGTGTGCTTGTCATATCAATTGAAGTTCATGCATTTACTACTGAAAAATCGAAGGAAAATGGTACCTATAACTGCTTGTTAAAATAAGATAAAAAAATCTTAACATGTGCTCAGGTCTCGCAGCACAAGTAAAGGAAAATAGTACGATGATTGTTAACTTGTAGTTATAAAAAGTAAAAAAATATTTTATTACTATTACAAACTTACATTTGTAGTTGATAAACTGTGATATAGAGCGATGTTTTTTTGCGAAGCGGAAAACGTTTTTTCCATTACAATGTAAAGTTTTAAGTTCACACCGACTTACGTTTTCGTTAGAGACACCGTGTTGTACATAGAGTTCCTTGTTAAAACCCTGTTCTTTAGTAATGGAGTGATGTACGTACTTGCCTACCAAGTCAAGTACGTACGTTACATACAGGCGTAGTTTATTTATTTAAAAATATACATTTAACAATATTTTCATAAATAAAGACCTCTTGTCCCTAAGATCTGTTCGTGCATTTTCCACGTTCGCTTTTAGTACAAACATTCGTGCATTCGTACGGTAGTTTGTGTGTACATACTAGGTTTTTATTGCTCTTTACTGAGCCTATTCCTTTCTGGCACGACACTAAGTGAAACAGCACGCATCACGCATTTTAGCCACGTTCACCACGCAAGCCGACGCGACGACTAGCGCAGCCGTTTTATTTTACACGGGGAAATACGCATACCTACCTCGCGGGGGCAAGGACGCGTAATATTTAGTTGGACTCGCACCAACTAAACCACATGGTGTTCCACCTCCGCCGCATATTGGCAGGGCACGGGAACGCTTTCGTATTCGTACACACATCCACGACACCACCAGTGCCGGCCGCCCCGTAACGGTCCCTTCTCGGGAGAGGACTATTCCTCCCCCTTCTCAGGTAAGACGGATATAGTAATGGAAGGGCGGACCCTCCAAACACAGGCATTATTTGCTTAAATGGAGGTTCCAATCTACTAGTTTTTAAGGCATTTACTTTTTAAAAACGAAATAAAATTTATTATTTATTTAAGACGCACTAAAACATAAGCCGCGTCTACCTCAGCAGCTTCCAACTTCCCCTGGAAGGAACCAGGGGTCAGGGAAAACGAGCACTCGGAAGCACTAGCCTATCCAGCGGCGGATTTTGTCTATGTATCCATCGTCAACCAAGATTTAGTCGCGGAGAATAGGGCGGCGCCGCGCAATAACGTTAGCGGCTAACGCTTGCAGCAACCTAAACAATGTATTAAAAAAGAGAAGTTAAGAAGGCTACACACGCGTAATCACCTAAACCGACTAAGATACGGTATACCTCACAATCTGTAATTATACTTGACCCTTCGAACCGGAACTTACAACTTGGTTAAAAGAATTAGGTGCATTAGAGGAATGCGGTTTCGGCGCCCGCACACCGCCTCTATCCCTGCGCTTCCCCCTAGTGACCAATCACCGTTCCGTGTTCCTTAGTTGTAATGACGTCTAAGGGTGCGTAGAGATTAAGTAACATGTTGTGTATCTTTTGTTTTATAACACGTCCACATTATGTTACATTGTTTTTCTACATTGCAACATATAACAATACTGTACACATTAGAATAACAATGCATTATAACAATGTTATATGACATTGTCGATTGTCGTTCTGCAGTGCTATTCGTAATCTCGACACAAGAGAACGTTTTGCTAGCTGCTGCAGCAACTCTTGTACTTTTAAATAACAAAAAAAAAAACATATATACTGGGTTAGTTCTAGTTTATTGACTAGAGAAAAATACTCCCTAGTTATTTATATAACTAGGGAGTACGTTTTATAACATTCAGTCTCCACATGACTGAAACTTTTTATAACATGTTATGTTATATAATATATACGCACCGTTAGATATCATGCATCTAATTGTGTGTAGGGATGAGCAAGTAACAAAAATATATCGATATTTTTAAACAGTATAGATGTGTGTCGCTTGAAAAATATCGATATATTGTCAAGTTTTGCACGATATACTATGGTGTGTCAGTAATAAAATATTGGATAAGGCCAAACCGACAACAGCTCATGAATACCTTTGTAGTTGCTTTTGTTGCTTAATTTTTTGTCGATTAATACAAACTTTAAAATATATCGAAATTGATACGTATACGATACTCTAAAATAAATATCGCTATCGTGATAAAAATATCGACGTTTTATATCGATATTTTTTAGAGAAAATTTCAATATATCGATATTTTTTACCAAGGCCTAATTGTTTTGGTCACTTGTAGAAGTAAATGCACTTCTTTATGTCAATAGGTAGGAATACATAAAAAGGATGGTACTTAATGTCTGTCTTGACTGACTGGTAGCCAGAATAAAAGCACCAGTTTTTAACAGTGGTAGAGCCACGCGGCAGCTTTTGCTGTCGCACGGATGGGCCGGCTCGAAACGGGGTAGTACCACGACCTCACAGAAAACCAGCGTGAAGTAGAGGTTTACCTCTGCGTTTCGCTTGGTGAGTGCAGGTGGCCCGAGGCTCTTTTTACTGGAAATGAGGCATTCCATCTTAGTCCTCACGGGTGACAACGCATCTATATTTTGATTTGTAACAGAGGATAGATGTAGATGTCTATGGGCCGCAGCAACCACTTACCATCAGGTGGACTGTGTGCTCGTTTGTCACCTTTATCCTATAAAAAAAAACCACCACTTAAATGTAATGGTAAATGGAAGTGTCTTAGTTTTTGTTATGCAGACGCTTAAATAGAATAAACCATCATTATTGAAATACGTGTTTTTATTTATTATTACGGAATGTTGTAATTTCAACATATACATTTCAAAATAGTACTTATAGCTTTAACAATAAGGTAACATAACATAAGTAATTTATAAATTATCACACAATTTAAGTGTCTCACTGTGAGTGTGATGGTAAACATTATTGCACCTCTTAAAATATAGAATTATTTGTAGGTATTTAACATAAAACTATTTATAATAAACTTTATTATAGTCGCGACACAACCCACAGAGAAAAGTAACCTATTTACCGATTATTAAGGAAATTACTCACAACTTTGGCATTAGCTAAATAAACGAATATCATAACAAAATGGCACTAATTATTTACATTTTAACCTCATGGTCATAAATAGAACTAATGCAATGATTATGTGACCGTCCAATGAAATGGTAAGAATATAAACTAAAAATTACCGCTTAATACATAATGGACCTAATACAAATTGTAATAGAATTTAAAACGCATTGGAACCATTCCTTGTCAATCGCCATTAAATGTCGAATACATGCGTCAATAACTAAAACACTTCATTTGTGTTTGGCACCACAGATAATACAATGCAATTTACCCAAAAAATACATCTGTTATAATATATTACCCCATAATAGTATCCTTTTCTAATTTACTAAGTGCGAGTGAAACGGAAGTTATTATCGTTGTATATTCATTTCGTTCAAATTAAAATAACATTTTCTGTGATACGATTTCTGTATTGAGATTAGTGTTTTCTCTACGAAGTTGGTTTACAATCGTAAACCAACTGTAGTTATGTTTTTGTGCAACTGTAGTTATGCTCTTGGCCGTATATTCAATGCTGCCTTTTACTCGCTGTTTTTTTTTTTAGTACTACGTCATAGGATATTGTTCTTACCTAAAATACCACGTCATCAACATTACAATGTTAATTCCAAAAGCTATACAAAATGAATACGAAAATACAATAATTTATGAATAGATATCACATTTTCAAATATAAATTCAAATTGCAGGCGTTCTTAGCACAACTAAGGTGCCTGCGGGTAATAAGGCCTGGCGGCTAATAAGCCCTTAAGTAACAAAAATCGTATTTATAATAACCGCACTGGCTTAAGGATATAATAACATAATAATATAACATAATAATGACTCCTATTGCACGATAATGTCTCTACAAGTTTGCAGAGACGCGTTACCCGTTGCATTATCTATCATAAGATACGATCGCACTGCACCAATAAAAAAAATCAGTCCAAATAAATCGTAGGTATGTTTTGTAATATTGCACTTAACTATCTAAAATCATAATCTTTATCTTTATGAATAAATGCTTTGTAGATCTTGAAGATTTGAGTAACGTATCGTGGTAATTTTTTTTTAATTTGGTTTTTCTTAAATACTTGGCCGGCAGTTATTAAGGCCTACTAAATTTCAACTGAAACTGTACCAAACTAATGATTTTTATAAAAATCTGTAGACCAAATTAGATATTTCTGATTTTATTTTCGATTTTCCCATAGCTAGGCCTTATTACCCGCAGGTACCTTATATTTTATGTGCATATTAGAAGATTCTTTAACTATTAGTTCTCTTACTATGGGTATTTTTTATTTGTTACTAAATTTAGATTTTAAACTTTCGAAGAATGCCAATTTGGTCTTAATTGTGCCAGGTTCAGGGAGTGGACTTCCCGGTCTACTCGATTCTTTTGTGACCTCTTCGATCCCCTCAGGAAACTCTTTTGATCCCCCAGGAACAGTAAGCGGTATTGCCATAGATAGCTTGAGTTCATCACGAAATTCTTTTGAGATACTTCTAGCAGTAAGGCTGTGCATGTAGAATAGTTTATTTGCGGGTTTGTCTATTTTCGATTCGAAACCTAGCACGTTCTCCTTGCTTTTTCTTCGCCTCAAGTATTGTTGTTGTGGAGGCTGTGGAGAAATCAACAGAAATATTACTTTTCGAAGTATTTGTATATTTGGCATTTTTTTATAAACTGAAGTGTCAAACGAATTTACAGTTCATTTGATGGTAAATGGTTACTGCAGTCTATGGACACTTGCAGCCAAGTTGCTGCCTTCAAAGAAGGCTACTGATACGTTGTCATCACTAAGATGGAATGTCTTATCGCCGGTAATTAAAGTTGCACTCTTCTATACCCTAGACCGAAACACAACAACACAAGCACTGCTATTTGGCGGTAGAAGTAGGTAAGAAGGGTTGTACCTACCTAACCTAGACAACTTGTATGTTTTAGCACTTAAAAATGTTAGCAATGAGGGCCTCCACTACTTTTTCTGCCACCAGGGCGGCGCCACTAGAAAGTGAGGTATAATATTTGACAGATTTCATAGCGGGGAAGTTAATTTGTTCGGAAAATGTATATATGGGCTATAATAGTGCAGAAAGAAACAATAGGTTATTGTTTCTTTCTGCACTATTGGCTATATTTTATATTAATGAGACTAAAAATAAATAAACCAAACCACATATATTCGTAAAAGTAGAAAAATTAAAAAAAGTTAAAAATGTGCAAAAAAATAAAATAAAGAGTAAACCACTGACACATTGTTTTGTGTATTAATTTAATACTCTAGAAACTGATAAAATTTTATTAAAAACCAACTTCCCAATGAAATTACACTGTATAACAAAAAACTTTACCTCAGTGTCAACTAACGACATCTGGTAAACAAAAAATTATTAGCCCTCATTGCTTGAATAGGAATTGTATAGTTATAAACACTGAGTTTAATTTGTAAAGATTTTAAAACTTTGAATATAATAAGTGAAATTTTTGTTTAAAATTAAATAGCTATAGCTGTCTCCTAACCTAAATGAGCATTTAACAATTATGACAATGTTAAAAAAAATATATAAAGATTTTTTGACATGACAATGTTAATACGAGCCTTTCGCGTTAACTATCTGATAATATTTTGATGTGCTAGTTATATTTTCATTATTACGGTAATAGTCCACTAATGGACATGAACATCCCAAGAGTTAAAGGAGATTTCGCGTAATCGCATCGCTTAGCAGGGTTGGCGATTAGATTGGCGATAAAGTATCGCACCTTTGACACTGCTCTCCGTTGTTGGTCTAGGTAATTCTTTGACAGCTGAGATATTGCATCATTGAATTGAGATAATGTATTTCCCAATTTATCACTTTACGCTAACAACAAAGTAACAAAATATTTTCACAAATAAGTGGTACATACTAATTATTGTATTTAAGTTCAAATGGCTTTATAAAGATAACGACAACTACTAATATTACTAGGTAGTAAGGCTCTGTCTAGGAGTTTGTCTAAGCAAGTACCGCTGTTAACACTTTCTGTATAGAGGCCAGTATATATGTGAGGAATTCCATCTCAGTCGTCAGAGTCGACAACGTATCTTCTGCAGGTGTCCATGGGCTGCAGTGCCCACTTACCATCAGTTAGAATGTAAGTTGGTTTTGCCACTTCAGTTTTATATAAAAGAAAAAACAAAATAAATATAAGATATAAACTCTATGCACATGATAGTAATGTTGTTTTACTGACCTTGCTCTGTTCACTTAAATTATCCATGCTTACAAATTTCTTAGCCAATTCTTTAACTTTAGGAAGCTGCGGTAGTATCTCCTCTATTTCGCTGATTTTGTACAAATGATTAGTTTCTGAATTGTTGTTTACTGTTTCATATTCGTACACATCATTATTTGGACTGAGCCTATCGATTGTTTCTCTAGAGAGATTCTTATCAGGTATATGGATGTTATCATTGCTGTCAGTCATTTCATCATATCTCGGCGATACCTTATCTTCTGGCTTACATTTAACAATTTCCCCAGTTTGTACGTTATATATTTTAATTGAATCTTCTAAACTACTAGAGCTTACATAAGAATTTTCGATGCTAAAATTGTTCGGTGACCTGTCCAAGCTGTCGCTTTCTTTGTCTATTTGTATGGTTAACGGTGCAGTGTCAGTGTTGTACGCCGATTGCAAAATTTCTTCGAACTTTTTATCCGTATCATCATCTGCAAATACCGGCTTAGCAGCGAATAGTGTATGTTCATTAGCATCTTCGTATTCTATTAAAATTTCATCTTTACTCTTAGGCGTTGTTGTTATGGAATTCTGCATTTCATCTTTTCCAACAAATTTTGTATAATGTTGATTCGTTGCTATCGTGGTAAACTGTTTTATTAATAATCCCTGAAATATTAATAACTGCGTAAATCTCTGTAAATGTCAAGTATTCAGGAAGATTTACACATTACTTTCAAATAAAATATCCAGTTAATAACATTAATAAAAAGTGAAGATAATTTTTACGTGAAGTTAAAATTATTTTACAAATTAATATAATTGCACCACTGAATGAGGTCGACGTTAGAATACTGTTAAGAAATATTAAAGTAGTTCAATTGGTGATTATAAGAACGTATTTTATACAAGAATATATTACAATTGAAACTTAAAACTATGTAGGAGGCGAGGCATGGGATGATTTAAATGGACATGGTAGAAGCGTATGTGACAGCTGCAATGGAAAATTAGGAAATTATTGTTATGAAGAAGTGCGATCGATAGACATTTGTTAGTTCATCTGCAAGCCTTCTATCGTGTTAGTCATAATTCATTCACCATAATCGTATAACACTCACCACTAATCTGTTTGAGGATTACTGTAGGAGCATTACTGAAATTTTTAATAAGGACACGAATAATAAGTGCAGTTGTATTGGCAGTTTTTAAATTTGAGTGCGGAGTGCTGTTAGTCAGCTAACGTTTATTTAATTCACACAACATGCTCATTCTTTCACACTTAACAGGCAAACCAACTGCGTCAAAAACGAAGATATTTGAAATTAAGCGAAATTGTTTCAGATTTCCTTTCACCATGTCAAATTTCCCTATTAATAATTGTTATGAACCGTGATGTCGAAATTATTCTATTAAAAATATGTTTATTTTGGTTTATCTATGTTTATGTATAGAGAAGTAGAGATTCTTAGTCAGGATTGATGGTTTAGTTGTATCTACATTTAAAATCAGTGGGAGTGCTTTTATGTTGGGTGTTATTGTTCTAGATTCTAGAATATTGAAACTAATGAAGGTGTTTTATTCACCATAGATCTTTTTGGAAACCTTTGCTTAATCTAAGGCTTCCGCCAAAACTATAATTAAGACCCGTTCGTTTCTTGGAGCGAATGCATAGGTCTTCGCTTCTCAGTGTGTTACTCCGCCTAACATTCGTGTATGATTCAAAAAGATCCTCAGTTATTTCGGGTATTTTCGGAATTTTAAGTCTAACTATATCCTCGTTTTCCACATAACCGTCACCTCGATTGCACACAGTTTTATTTTGCAGTCTTACGTTACGGCTGACGGTTCGTCGGTCTGTCACATGATATTCGTCAGCGTTATCGTTTTGTCTGTCTGGGTTTTCAAAAATGGGGTTTATGGCAAAGTTGGGACTGGCGTTTCTGGGGCTGAGGAAGGCTCGAACGATGTTGTGATGAAGAGTGGACGCCTCCAGGTCACTCAACGAACTGCTAGCACTTACAGGCGAAGCGAACTCTGTTTCGAAATTGTCTAAACTGGTGGACTTGTGTATTGACGATAAAGAGCTTGTGTCACTGATGCTGTTGGCCTTCCGCGCTCCGGAGGAAGTTTTAGCTTCTCTTATGTAATAATCTCTGCCATAACTGTAAGAAAAAATTGGTTAATATGTTACATTTTATCGTGTAATATTTATTAAAATAGATTACTTATTATCCACAAGGTTGTCATTGTTTATTTTGAATGGAATCCATAGTTTTTTTTGGTAATATTATGTGATAAAATGCAATATTATTTTAGAGCGGAAAATATGTTGAAAAATTATTTGAAAATTTAAATATAAAACTCTAGAGCGAAGCAATTACAATATATAATACCGTTTATATTGAGGGGATTCTTCTGATACATCTTTCACAATTTTCGGTGACGGACTTCTGTCTTTGATCTTGATTGAATCTATATTATTTTGATTTAAGTTCATCGAATCCATGTTGGAATCAATTTTATCAATTATTATGCCGTTTTGTTTTTTCGCGCTTGTTTCAATACTTTTCTCCTTGTCCGCTTTATGTTTAGGTGTTTCAGAATTTTCCACGTCGAATTCCTTGTTTTTGGAAGTCAGTGAATCGAATAACGAAGAGGTGCTTTTGGCTGACAACCGTTTTTGTATCGCTTCTGGCGAGTAAGGATTGTTTGGCATCTCAACGTAATTCAACCATTTTTTTCTTTCCCTATATGCAACCGAACCTGTTATCAAAAAAATTAAATAATTATTTAAACACATCTGTATTTTGATTCTTTATTCAGGATGTCTATGGGATATAGCTTATTCTTATCATCAGGTGGATTGTGTACTAGTTTGTGGTACGGCAAAAATATATGGTTAACGAATATATGATATTTAAAACGTGGATGTGGATATTGCTAACAGAAACGTCGAGGATTTAAAATAAGCCATAAAATTACAATTTTTTTATTAATTACTCACCTGGAATCAAGTCTTCTTCCTTCTCATCAGTAAATCTAAAAGAAAAAAATGGGTTGGATTAAAATATTTTATCTACAGGACTAGAATATTATTTCAACTACGTTTTTCTGCACTCACTCTCTAGCTTCATCTTCAAAATGCTTCTTACGTAGACTGTCAGCATACCTCTGCACTGGAATAGACACTGCCTCTTCATATTCACCCACTCTCTCGTGGCGACTCAACGTGTTGTTTGCTGTGCTGTCTGTAAGTATAACATTATTTTTTTATGATATTTGACTTCCTCGACTTCGATATTTTTCGGGAGCAATAGGACCTTTCATAATTATATTTATTTGACTTACATTACACCTTCGGAAGAGAAGTTGCGTTGTTGACGCACGGCGTTCACATATGATTAGTTTTTGAATGAAATCAAAGTTTACAGTCAAAGATAATTTTTTGATAGTAAATTTGTCACGCAAGTTGATATATTTAGAAAGATTATAATTACAAAACATTATGATACGCGAACACTATACATTGAATTAAACTACTTTGACAGCGTTTAATTTACTTATTTTTAAACGTGTCAACGTAAAATTGCAGCTTAATGCTGCTGTGTTTCTTATGGTGACTGGTGAGTGTAGAGAACCAGTTACTCTTTTTACGGGAAAGCAGGCATTCAATCTTAGTCATCAGGGGTGACAACGCGTCTGCATTTTAATTCTTAATGTAGATGTCTATGGGCCACAGTATCCACTAAACATCGGGTAGACTGTGTGCTCGTTTGTCACCCTTATTCCATTTGGAGGACAGATGTGTTTGAAGTCCCGATGTCATAGTTAACCCGCGTAGTTTTAGTTATTAATTATTTCACTTGGGTCGGCTCAGCTGGACTCGAAGGACCATATTCTCACAGAATACCAAATTGAAATTACAGCTTGATGCAGCTGTGTTTCGTATGGTGAGTGTAAAAATCCGAGACGTTACCAGTAAATACTGATATGACAGATATGACAGTTTAACTCAGACCTGAGGGGTGGCAACGCATTTGTATTTTTACTCTTAATCAAACTTAAAATTTTAATTAGATGTAGAGTGTATAAGGGCCCACTTACCATCAGGTAGACTATGCGCTTCTTCCTCACGATAATTCTATAAAAATATAGTTTTATACGGATCCTATATACATGATTTTATTTATTTTTATTCACTTATTTTTTATTATTTTAAAATAAATTTGCAAGTTAAGCAGAATATTAAATGTATTATAATTATAAAAAATAAATTACCCGAGAAACTTTTTGAATTGGAGATATGATCTACTTCATCTAAACTGTCTTCTGCCATCGTTTGTGATGATGTGTCCAAATGAATGAAATTTTCATTTTTGTAACCGTTGAAAACATTTCTGTGAATTTCTTCGTTTAAATTAAATTCTGCTTTAGGTGGTGGGCCGCTGTCTATACCAAGAATTAATATTGAATCTTTTCTTTCCTCATTAATGTCCTCATTATTGTTTGCTATTTTCTTCTCGCATTCATTATTATCAACATCTGCATTTATTGCGTCCACAATTTCTTTACTTTCTTTGCTTTCATTGTACAGTTTTTCGAATTCGTCTGAGCCATCGATAGTCATAAGACTATCTGGCTCATAATCATCTACGAGAATATCGTCTATTTTTGGTTTTCCTCCAATTTCATGTTTCGAGTCTAAAACTCTTTTGATATCACTTTTATATTCTGATGGTTGATCTTCTGCGTCGCTAGCATTATCTGAGAGATCACTAGTATCCTCGGCATCTCTATCGCCAATTAGCGCACGATATTCCGTATTAGAGTTAGGAACCAGCATTGGAACTGGAACTGATTGTATCGTCTTTATTTTCTTCTTTTGGAAGAGCCAGTTCTCCTCCCAAGAACCGTCGACTGCTTGTATATCACTGCTTGATATCTCATCGAAGTCACGGTCTTCATTATCTATTAAAATAATGTAATGTATGCATATTAGCAGGATCTTTAAAGCTTTCTTTTACAATTACATATAATGTTACAAAAATGTTCTTAAAACTCTATTCGATATTATATTGGAATAAAAGTTAAAAGTTTTTTTTTATGTTGATACAGGGTTATTTTTCAAAGAGTAGCCAAATTGTAAACTTAAGTTAAAATATGTAAATAATGGTATACCATTATTGCAGTTTTTAAAAATACGAGTAAATAAGACTTCCACTTTTATTTGAAATTATTTCAAATTGAATGTGATTTATGGGCAACGATGTTTTTGCCTACCGATTGACCCTTACTTCGCGTAGTGTATATATTCTTTGCCCTTACGGAAAGCAAACCCTTGCGCAGTAAAATCAGTTGAAATAATGCATTACCACGCATTTTGAATTTAAAAGATAAAAAGGACAGAATCTTTTAGATTATTTTTAATTAATTTTTCGTTACCATTTGTTTATATTACTTATTCTGAACCTTCTATGCAAATTTGGCCGGTTATTGCAAAATAATCCTGTATAGTCAGTCTTTGGGATTGTGTATTTTTACGTTATACTAAATAAACAAAACGTATTATAACGTTGCATTAACGCTTTACGGAACATTCTTTAAAATATATCAATGCAATCAATCAAATAAAGCTAAAATGCTTAACAGTCGAATCACAGAACTATTTTATTAGTATAGTGTAAATATAATAACCCCCAAGTAATTTTTTAATAATTTTATTGACACGTTTTGAATATAACTGCAATCGATAAATTATCGCATGAAATTTTAAATTAGTCATTAAATTCCAATGTCGTGAGCAATTGTGATATAATTGAGAGTTTTTACTGCTATTTCAGAGGCCATAGAAAATTTTACTTTTTCCATATTCACCTCCTTCAACCTACGCGAGATGAAATGGGATGATGGATTCTCATAATTGTTATGCATTATTTTAGTTATTATTAACAAGCCTTTTTTAACTCTTTACCGTGATGCACAATGTCTCCTCCAAACTCCGGGAAAGGCACACGACGTGGCAGTTCTAGTGCTTCATCTGTGGCGTCACCCTCTTCCCAATCCGACACGTCATCTTCCTCGCGAAGCTGAAATATTAAAATGAATTACGGTGTGACGTACAAATTATTAAAGGTCCATTCCAATAATGTTGAAAATATTTTGTTGCTTATTTTTCATAAAACTGAAGGTTCAAACGAACTAACTGTCCATCCATGTCCGTGGATACTTGCAGCCAATTTAAACAAAGGATACAGAAAGACGTTGTCAGGTTGTCACCTTTGAGAACTAAGATAAAATGCCTGTAATTATACTGGCTATTTATTCCTACTAGTAAAGAGTTTTAAGTTTTATTACATTCTACCTGGCACTCGGCAGACGTTCTGCCCTTTCCGGTAGCTGGCGCGATGTGTTTCACTCCGAACTCGCTCCGGACTTTTTACAGTTTTTTTTATAGGATACGGTGACAAACCAGCATATAGTCCCCCTGATGGGAAGTGGTTACTGTGACCCATAGACATCTACATCTATCCTCAATAAAGACTCAAGATGCAGATGCTTTGTCACCCGTGAGGACTAAGATGGAATGCCTCTTTGCCAGTAAAAAGGGTCTCCGGTTCTCTACACTCACCATACGAAACACAGCAGCGTTAAGCTGATTTTTTACGCTGGTTTTCTGTGAGAACATGGTCCTTCCCCGGTCGAGCCGACCTATTCGTGCTACAACTATACTACTAATATAGCTACAGCGTGGCTCTACCACGTAGAAAACTGTAAATATACATACATAAATTAACGACAGTGCCACTTATACAAAGACAGATTTTGTATATTTGTAATTTTCTTTTTTGGTATTAAACCAACATATCACGAATATGAGCCATTTTGTTTCAAAAATATAGAATTTGTTAATAACTTGACTACATCGCCATCTACCAGATCCTAGCATAACTATGAACAAATAGACCTCAAGCGGTTCGTTTAGAAGTTACACGATTACTAACAGCACCAACGATCATGTAATATTTTCTTTAATTTATTTATTCGGAAAACCCTCGGCTAGCAATAAACAGAGTGGGTAGAAAGTAATTAAGCTGTAGAAAACCAATTATGGGTTTTCGCTGATATTAACACTATATAAATATTTATATGCGGTAAATTACTGAGAGTTGATAGGACACTATCACAACAACCATAAACTTAGCTAGGCAACATCGCGCAGTAATTAACTTTACAGATTAACAAAATAAAAACAAAATCGTCGGATGGAGTCGAAGAAGACTTACTCAGAACTCGTCTCCCTAAGGTGACTCTTAATAGGTCTAAATCCAACGATTGATACACAATATTAAAGTTCTTGCTCACACGGTAAATGTAGCTATTCTGCATATAATTTGTCCTGGCTGGGGGTGGTGATACTGAGACCTTTCGTCTAATATTTAAGGAGTTTTTATATTTTATCTCGAAAATAGATCCGGATGGTCGATCGTGTTTGATTATATGATAATGTACCAATGCTGTCGGGTTCTTTGTCTATTTGCTTTGACAGCTTTTGTTAGTAACTTACCGGAGGGCTTATTTCTCTGGTATTTCTCGAGTTGAGAGATCGTGGCGAGGAGCGGTCGGAGGGAGATGGGCTTGCGCTGGCCGAGTGGATGCCACTACTGCGTCCGCCCGAACCATTTTCATTCTGGTACCGTTCGATCACCTGCAACAGGAAATAAAATATTATAATGCAATACAATATTAAATTAAATAATTTGTTTTCAAAGCTTTCGTTTCACTTACATGTATACCTCAATTAAAAATTAAAATACATTATAATACATTAATAACATTTAATATATAAACATATTATGTAACTGATAAGACCCTGTGTTTATATAATAGTAACATATTAGATATTGGATCCCAAACTAAACTACATAATATTATAATGTAACAGTTAACTGAAGGTCTACTAAACAAACTTGAGCGTATTCAAAATCTGGCAATTAGGTTCATATTTGGCTTGCGCAAATATGACCATGTCTCCGAATTTCGTTTAAAGCTCAAGTGGTTACCCATTCGCCTTCGCCGGAACCTACAAATTGTTTCTCTTCTGTACTGTGTATTATTCGATCCAATGACTCCTAGCTATCTGAAGGAAAACTATAAGTTTCTTGTTCATGACAGACCGGACAGAGTTCTACGGTCTGCCGGAGAACTTATACTCGCGCCACATTCTTATCGAACTAAATACTTTAAGAATTCCTTCACAGTCAAGGCCATCTGCTTATGGAACGATCTTCCTCCGCAAATTCGTCGTGCGAAATCACTAGAAAAGTTTAACGACTGACGTAAAAAATTACTACCTAACATTGCAATAATTACTGGTCATCATTTGCGACATGTATTTTTTGTATCCTATCTGTATTTATTTATGTAATTTTTATGTAAATTTGCCTATTTAATCTTATTATTTTTTATCTATTATATTTTGAATGTAGGTATATATTAGTGTATTAATTATTTTGTTATTTCACGCACTATTACTGCGTCGATAATCAATGGGTAGGTACATATCGAAAAAATAACTACTTACAAATCCTGATGGCCCCTTTAAGGTAACCTTCAAGCTAAGTGAGGTACTTGAATCTCGGCGGGAGCCATTAATCAATAAAAAATTCTTCGATCTGATTCGTGCGTCAGTTTTTGTATATGTTATTTATTTTATTAAAAAAAAATCTAAAAACTAATATTTAAAAGCTGAAGGTCCCTGCATAACTATAACATCAGAACCGTTACATCCCCTGAACAGAATGTCATCCATCCCGGCTATGTGTCAAATATTGATCTCCAGTAACTGTCATCCATTGCTGCGCGGCGGTTCAATTCCCGCCATTTTCTTTTAATTTTTTTTATACTTCGCTTATAGCACAAATGCTATAATAATATGATTAATCTCCGAACGAAGATTCGGTTTTTGTTTCGGCAAGTTTCGGCAAAAAAATCAAGTTTCGGTAATAGTTTCGGTTTCGGCGAAAAATCTGCCGAACCTTCGGCGGCGCCGAAACTCAGTGTTCGTGGATTGTCGTGCGTTATTATCATCCATAAATTCCTTAATATTAACAACAAACTTAGTTTATTAAAGTTTTTGAACTTTGAGCAGGTTTTCTGGGATTTTCTGGGAAAAGAAAATATTTGTCTATAATATCAAATTATCTTCTACTATCAATAATCTTATTCATTTGCCCTTATTGACATTTATCTACACTTTTATTAAAACGGTATTACTATAGATAATATAGTTCTAGATAACCTCCATAGTTATTTTTAATATCGATATCAATTGATTATATTCATATAACTGTAAAAGTTATTTCTTTATTTTTTTTTAACAGAGTTACTGATTTTCGTTGTGTTGGATGTAGTACGAGTGACTGGTGATGCATGCAACATACATTTTATTACTCTTAAACTGATTATGAATTTAGGTAATGCAACGACAGCTTCTGGTATTTTTTTAATACTAAGGGCCGCGGGTTTGAATCCCGCACGGAACAACTATTTTTATGGCCTACAAGTAATCGTTTCGGTTATGAATGTTTGTCCTTGTACAATTTACGTATGTAAACTGCCTGCACGTCACAGGAGAAAATACTAGTGTGGAGGATACGCTTTTCTTTTTAAAAAAAAATAGACGGAGCGCTGCGTAGATTTTCAGACACGCACACATCTTTCTTGTTTCTTTCTCTATCAGCGCGCAAAAGTTCACTGGTGAACGCACACATATGCACCTAAAACCATATCGTTAATGTAAATGAGCATCTAAAATGCTTAATTATACGTGAGTGCGTGTTCTTACAATAAGTTTATCATGGTTTTGACTTGGTTTTTGCGTTACTTGAAGTGTACGCAGCGCTTCGTCTTTCTTGCTTTATTGGTCTTTTCAGTTGCATAAAAGCATTCCAGATACTGGTAAAATATTCTACTGGTATGTCGAGATTCTGCCCGTAACTCATGTGCCAGTACAAAGTTTAATAGTAGGAGATCGCAAGCCGTTTGATTTCTCCCCTTGCGAAGAAGTGGGAAAAAATCAAATCCCCTACCTACTCGAATGACAGGTCGAGGGTATTTTTGTAACCTTCCGAGTCTGTATTGCAATGCTATTTAATTCTTTAAAAGTATTCAAAGCTTTTCTAAAAACTTTAACAGACACAGGTATGTGTCTCACTTCAAATTCACACTTCGGATTGCCAGTACCCGGCATGCCTGTCAGCTTTCTAACGCCAGCATACCACACACAGGCACGTGTATCACGGGATGATCTATAAGTGGGTTAGCGCGTTAGATATGCGTTTGACTGAGAGGCTGTAGATTCAAATTTTACACGAAACAAGTGTTTGAATGATAATCCAATTTTAATTTTTATTAATTTTATACAGTCGCATTTTGTTGCATAATTGAACTTACGCAGTCGCCATCAAGACTAGACGCTTTTTTTTACGTAGTAGAGCCATGCTCTCACAATAATAGTGTAAAATAGCAACTAATGCTGCCGTGCTCTGTATGGTGAGTGTAAATAACTGGAATTTTACTGGAAATGAGGCATTCCATCTTAGTCCTTAGGGGTGACAACGAATCTGCATTTTGATTCTTAACCGAGGATAGATGTAGATGTCTATTGGCCACAGCAACCACTTACCATCAGGTGGACTGTGTGTTCGTTTGTTCGTATTCTAAAAAAAAAACTTAGAAATTGTGTCACAATAATTTTTCAAGTTCAGATTAAGTTAAGTGGAATACAAAGCAAATGAAATTGAAACAATTATCTTGTCTCAAGATTTCCTAATTATAAAGTTATTTCACGCTCTTCATTTGAATCTTGTTTAATTTCATATACCTTTGAATTTTTATTGGTACAGGAAATGCAACTTTTATTCACCACTAATGCGGGAAATAAACCCCAATAAACCATGTAAGAATCAAGCATTCACTAAGCTAATGCAATTCTTTTATGCATAAATAATTAAACCGACAACTACCTACGATAACTTTCTCTGCATTATTACGCAACTGAGATTCATCTTCCATAGATAATAAAATATTAAGCTTGATCACATATTAAATATGCAATTTTATAAACTAATAAAATACGTAATGAAACACAATCGTAATTAAAACCGGATGTATCAAAATATAACTAATTTCACACAGCTTTCATTGGTGTTATTAGATAATATAAAACTTTTATCTTTATTATCAATTTATTTATCAGAAAATAATTATTCAAACTTAGCCATTAATCGCTTTATCTGATTTTCGAAGATGATTTGAATAGAACGTTGCTCCCTGACTTCGATAATTTTGATATTGATAGATTTGTTGTACATTTTCATCATGTCATATTTCACAATTACATTACGTCACATTTATAATATTACTAGCTGACCAGGCAGACGTTGTTCTGCTCTTTCTGACGACCCTTCCTATAAAAAATCTTTAAATTTGCAATAAAAAAATATTGAAGGTCACTTATCGGGATAAAAACTATCCTATCTCTCAAGTTGGACGAAACTGCACACAGTGTGCAAAATTTCACTGAAATCAGTTCAGTAGGTAGTTTAGGAGTTCATCGCGGACAAACAACGTGACACGTAATTTTTATATATAAAGATTTATGCTGGTGGTAATGAATCATATAAATAATATAGTTAGCGTCCCGCCCCGGCGTCGTCTGATTGGGATCAATTAATCTAATCTAAAAATAATCATCAATTACCTTTTAATTTATCAAGTTATTCATTTCACAAAAAAATCTCGCAAGTTTTTAGGATAAAATATAGTTAAGCTATTTCGAAGATCACCCAACAACTTAGAGTATTATATACTATAAGCCGGACAGACAGACAGACAAAACTTTAAAAAGGGTTATTCATCCCTTTTTAAATTTTTGGACGCACACATATGCACCTAAAACCATGTAGTAGAAACAGAAACAGAAACTTTTTTTTTCAATACAGATTATAAATAATACTTATTGAAAGTCACTCTTTTGTTTAATTACCACTGGTTCGAAAAAACCTCTGTCCTGGGAAGAACCAGCAAGAAACCCAGCGGGACCTTTATTTTTTAAATAACAGCTTACAATCATGTATGTTACACAAATTAACAACACAACAAATTAGAAATAGCTTGGTAGCGATCACCTCATATCCAGGGGTTATTATCATCCATAAATTCTTTCATTTTATAATAACCCTTTTTATACAAACTTAGTTTAATAAAGTTTTTGAACTTTGAGCAGGTCAATTTTTGTATATTTTCTGGAATTTTGTTGTAAAAGCGCCCCAAGAATGAATTACTGACACAATGGAGTCGAGTAACTGGTACTACTAGCTTGTGTCTATTCCTAGTATTTACAGAATGAATATCACTTATTTTTGTAAAACTACTTTTATTTTTGTGTACGTACATTAATTACATTTTCATAAATGTATTGAGAGGCCAAAGTTAATATATTAATTTCCTTAAATTTTTGTCGCAGCGACTCTTTAGGCTTTAAATCATAAATTGCTCTTATGGCCCTCTTCTGTAAAACAAATATAATTTCAGTGTCAGCTGCGTGTCCCCATAGTAAAATACCATACGACATTATGCTCTGGAAATAGCTAAAGTAAACTAGTCTAGCTGTTTCAACACTGGTAAGACTTCTAACCTTTTTTA